CAACACTTTGGGAGGCCAAGGCGGGTGGATCACAAGGTCCAGAGATCGAGACCATCCTGGTCAACATGGTGAAACCCCATCTCTACTAAAAATACAAAAAATTAGCTGGGCATGGTGGCATGTGCCTATAATCCCAGTTACTCAGGAGGCTGAGGCAGGAGAATTGCTTGAATCCAGGAGGTGGAGGTTGCAGTGAGCTGAGATAGCGCCATTGCACTCCAGCCTGGGTAACAAGAGCAAAACTCCATCTCAAAAACAAACAAACAAACAAAAAAACCAGCATGGTACTGGTACCAAAACAGAGATATAGATCAATAGAACAGAACAGAGGCCCTGGAGGCAACACCACACATCTACAACCATCTGATCTTTGACAGACCTCACAAAAACAAGCAATGGGGAAAGGATTCCCTGTTTAATAAATGGTGTTGGGAAAACTGGCTAGCAGTGTGCAGAAAGCAGAAACTGGACCCCTTCCTGACATCTTACACTAAAATTAACTCCAGATAGATTAAAGACTTTTAAACATAAGACCTACCACCATAAAAACCCTAGAAGAAAACCTAGGCAAAACCATTCAGGACATAGGCATAGGCAAGGATTTCATGACTAAACATCGAAAGCATTGCCAACAAAAGCCAAAATAGACATATGGGACCTAATTAAACTCCAGAGCTTCTGTACAGCAAAAGAAACAATCATTAGAGTCAACTGGCAACCAACAGAATGAAAAAAAATTTTTGCAATCTACCCATCTGACAAAGGCCTACAAAGAACTAAAGAATCTACAAAGGACTACAAAGAACAAAACAGAATCTACAAAGAACTAAACAGATATACAAAAACAAAACAAAACAAAACAAAAAAACCATCCAAAGTGGGTGAAGGATATGAACAGATACTTTTCAAAAGAAAACATATATGAGGCCAACAAACATATGAAAAATGTTCATCACTGATTATTAAAGAAATGCAAATCAAAACCACATTGAGATACCACCTCACGCCAGTTAGAATGGTGCTCATTAAAATCTGGATACCACAGATGCTGGAGAGGATGTGGAGAAATAGGAACACTTTTACACTGTTGGTGGGAGTGTAAACTGGTTCAACCATTGTGGAAGCACCATTGTGTGGTGCTTCCTCAAGGACCTAGAAATAGAAATTCCATTTGACCCAGTAATCCCATTACTGGGTATATATCCAAAGGATTATAAATCATTCTGTTGTAAAGCCACATGCACACGTTATGTTCATAGTGGCACTGTTTACAATAGCAAAGATCTGGAACCAATCTAAATGCCTATCAGTGATAAACTAGACAAGGAAAACATGGCACATATACACCATGGAATACTATGCAGCCATAAAAAAGATGAGTTTGTATCCTTTGTAGGGACATGGATGAATCTGGAAACCATCATTCTCAGCAAACTGACACAAGAACAGAAAATCAAACACCACATGTTCTCACTTATAGGCGGGTAATGAACAATGAGAACACACTGACACAGGGAGAGGAGCATCACACATTGGGGTCCGTTGGAGGGGGCAAGGGAGGACAGCAGGAGGGTGGGGAGGTCCGGGAGGGATAACATGAGGAGAAATACCAGATGTAGGTGACAGGGGGATAGAGGCAGCAAACCATATTGCCATGTGTGTACCTATGCTACAATCCTGCATGATCTGCACAGGTACCCCAAAACCTAAAGTACAATTTAAAAAAAATTAAAAATTAAAAAATTTTAAAAAGAAAATAAATGAAATGTCAGAAAAAGAATTCAAAATAATAATTTAAGAAACCTCATTGAAATTCAAGAGAATACAGATAGGCAATTCAACAAAATCAGGAAAACAACTCATGATTTGAATGAGAAATTCAACGAAGAAATGGATATTTTAAAAAAAGGATAAATCCTAAAGAATTCAATGAATAAAATTTAAAAATATAATTGAGAGATTTAACGATTGAGCAACTAGCTTGATCAAGCTGAAGAAAGAATTTCTGAACTTGAAGACGGAACTTCTGAAATAATACCAGCAGACAAAGAAAGAATAAAAAAGGATGAAGATAGCCTATATCATTTATGAGACATCAATGAGCAAATAAATATTCATAATATGGGCATTCTAGCAAAAGAAGATAAGGGAGAAGGTGAGGAAAACATATTTAATAAATCATAGCAGAGAACTTCTGTCTTGGGAAAGAGATGGAGATCCAGGTCCACGAAGCTCAAATTACCACATAGTTTCAATTCAAATAGTCCTCTTAGAGTTACATTATTGTCAAATTGTCAAAATCCAAAGACACAAAAATTAAAGCAGCAAGAATAAAGCATCAAGTCACATATAAGGGAATGTCCATTTGACTAACAGCATATTTTTCAGCAGAAACCTTGTAGTTCAGGAGAGAATAGGATGCTATATTCAAAATACTGAAAGCAAGTAAGCTTCAGCCAAGAATATTACCCAGCAAAGCTATTTTTCAGAAATGAAGGATAAATTAAATCTTCTGAGACAAACAAAACTCAGGGAATTCATCACCACTAAACTGGTCTTACAAGAAAGGTTCAAGGGAGTCTTATATCTGGAAGTATAAAGGTGATAATCACCATCATAAAAACATAAAAAACTGTAAAATTCCCTGGTAGAACCAATACACAAAGGAGAAAGACAAAGGAATCAAATCCACAGAAAACCCATCTGAGAAAATAAATAATAAGACAAGAAGTAAGAAACAAAAGATATACAAGACAAATAGAAAACAATAAATAAAATGACAGGAGTGATTCCTTACCTATCAATTACCCTGAATGTAAATAAATATCATTCCCAATTAAAAAGATACAGATTGGCTAAATAAAACAAAAAATATGACCCAACTATATGTGGACTACAAGAAACTCATCTCAGCAATAAAGACACACATAGTCTGAAAGTGAAGGGATGGAAAAATACATTTCATGCAAATAGAAACCAAAAGCAAACCAGGAGTAGCTATACTTACATCAGATAAAACAGACATCAAGTTAAAAGCTGTACAAAGAGAAAAACTGCACATTATATAATAATGCACTCCCATATTTACTCCAGCATTATTTACAACAGCCAAGATATGGATCCACAGACAAATGGATAAAGAAATGTGATATATATACACAATGGAATAATATTCTGCCATAAAAAAAGGTTGAATCTTGTCATTTGCAGCAACACGGATGTAACTGGAGTTCATTATGGTAAATAAAATAAGCCAGGCACAGAAAGACAAATATCATATGTTCTCACTCATATGTAGAAACTTAAAAAGTGGATCTCATGGAAGTGGGGAGTAGAATGGTGGTTACCAGAGGCTAGGACGGGAAGTGGGGAGAATGAAAAGAAGTGGGCAAAAGAATAAAAAAAATAGTTAGATAGTAAGAATAAGTTGTGGTATTCAATAGTACAGTAGGAAAATTATAGTTAATAATAACTTAACTATGTAGTTTAAAATTTCCAGAAGAAAAAAACTAGAATGTTCCCAACACAATAAAAAGGTAAATGTTTGAGGTGATAGCCATCCCAATTATCCTGATTTGATCATAACACATTGTATACTTGTATCAAAATATTACATATACCCCCCCAAAGTATGTACAACTATTACATGTCAATAAAAAATTAAATTACCATATGATTCTATTTACATAAAACTGTAGAAAATGCAAACTAATCTAAAGGGACAGAAACCCTACATTTATAATATGAAGAACTCTTTCAAATCAATGGAAAAAAATGACAAGAAATCCGAATACATATATCACAAAAAAGAATATCTACATGGCCAATATATGTGCAAAAAAGTGCTAAACATCATTAATAATCACAGAATTACTAATTATAATTAGGTAACACTACACCCTTTAAGAAATGCTAAAATAAAAATAAACAAGTATAGGTGAAGACATGGATCAACTAAAACTCACACTCCATTAGAAGAAACAAAGATTGGTACAGCCACTTTGGAAATCTGCTAGGCATTACCTATTGAACAGAGACATCACTCACTATCATGAGGGATTGGTTCCAGGAACTCCACATAAACCAAAATCTTTGCACACTCACATCCCACAGTTGGCTGTGTGGAATACACATATATGAAAAGGTGCCCCTCCAAATACGCAGTTTTCATATCCTGCAAATTCTATAGTTTTGACCCACATTGGGTTGAAAAAAATCTGTGTGTAAGTGAACTAGCACAGTTCAAATCCATGTTGTTCGAGAGTCAACTGTTTATGTATCCTTCACAACTCAGAAATTGTATGTGTGTGCACCAAAACACATAGGAAAGAATGTAGCAGCCAAAAAAACTAAAATACAACAAATGTCTACCAACAGAAGCATGGATAAAGTGAGGTCTGTTCACATAATACTATACTGTGCAGCAATGAAAATGAACAACTGGATGAATCTCATAAATATGCTGGTTAATCAAAGAGACAAGCACAAAAAAGTACATAATATATAATCACATCTATATAAAGTTCATCAAAAGCAAAACTAACCTATGGTTATTAGAAATCAAGACAGTGTTGCCTTTTGGGGAGGAGAAAAGTGGGTGTTGATGGAGAAGAGGCATGACCTAGGGTGGTTACCTAAGCGTATTCATTTAGTTATAGTCATTACAATGTGCACTTATCATATGGAACTTTTTTTCTATGTAGTTTATACTTCACTGAAAAAAGTGAGAAAAGTCAATCTGGATATCCAAACGTAAGGAGATTTGATTATGTTAACATGAACCTTTTCTTGATCAGCTTATTACTGAAGAATTTTTTTCTAAGTAATTCCAGATAGCTCATGTTCTAAATATAAAAATGTAATATGATATTTTTATCAATATTTCTCTCCCATAGTTGGTAGCTGAATCCACAGAAAGTAATGCTGTCCAAACAGTATCAAAGACATGGAAAGTCAAGGGCAAGGCCTTCATGATACTGGACATAACACTTGTAAAATACCTGATGAGAAGGATCCTTGGTGTTCCATATGCAAAGTTCATTCCCATCCAAAGGGAAAGCACAGTGCTGCATGCTACAAGCAAGCTGAACATGAGATGCAGACTCCTTGGATTCAACCAGGTATTTCTCTGTAACTATATCACTTACACAGCCACCATTACTTGAGAAAACATCTTGGGAATTTTCCATCTTCAATCTGAAAACAAAAAGTACATACAAGATGACTATAGGTGTCATATTTAATATAGAAAAAAAGTCTATTATCTATTGATAGTTACTAGTGTGACCACACATACATGCCACATCACACCTATTTATTCACCTTTCCTCACCCCAAGAAAAAAGAAGAGAAATTTGCTAAAAACTCTGGAGGTTCCACATTCACAACTGCTCCATGCCTCTCATGGGCTCCATTCCTCTCCTGAAGAGCTGAATGTAAAGTTGGATGAAGAGCTTATTTTTGTGTGTGTTTCATTAGTTTATGCTTTATAAAACATAGCCAGTGAATCACTGATTATAGAACCTATGATAGCTTAACTGTAATTACATAGAGGGTTGTGAAATTGTTGATTAATCTCAGGTTAGCTATGGGAGAGTTCCAGTGACTTCCAGATACCCCTAAAAGCACCAAGAGTCAACACTTTCTCTCAGCTTACAGCACAGCAGGGCTTTTATTGCCTCAGGACACACATTTTATCTTCATCTTCCATTCCTCCCCATATCTGCACCTTGGGGGCTCTTCTCATTCCCCAGGCCTCAGCAGAGGCCCCTGAGAGCTGGTTCCCATCTGCCCCCCATCTCATCCTCCTCCTTCCCAGCACTTCACACCATCTAAAGTGTATACCACAAGAGAATGAGATATGCTTCAAGAGATCCCTGCCATTCTAACTCCATAAGAGACAGTGAATTCACCCACATGTCAACAATATAACTGTTATAGCCAGCATCGGGAAAAGCCAGCGCAAAAAGATTATCTGTAACTAAGGAACTCACACAGAGTCTTCACTCCTAAAAGCACCAAGAATCAAATTAGGCTAAAATAAACATTAAAGTCTGATCCATAAGAGGGAAAAAAAGAAATTTAGATTTTTTAAAAATGCAATAAAAAATAAATTCAAAAACAATTTTAAGTAATAGTCTACCCAAATAAGAAGAAATCAGAAAAGAAATTCTGGTAATGTTTAAAAAAAAAAAAAAAAAAAACAGGGCTCTATACCACCCCCAAAAGATCATGGTAACTCCCCAGCAATAAAGTCAGACCAAGAAGAAATCTCTGAATTGCCAGAAAAAGAACTCAAAAGGTTGACTATTAAGCTACTCAAGGAGATACCAGAGAAAGCTGAAAACAAACAAAAACTTCAAAAAAAATGCAGGATATGGATTAAAAATGTTACAGGGAAATAGATATCATAAAGAAAAAAAAATCATAACTGGATATGAAAGACACACTTAGGGAAATACAAAATGCAATGGGAAGTTTCCACAAGAGACTAGAACAGGTAGAAGAAAGAACTCCAGAGCTCAAGACAAGGCTTTCAAATTAACCCAATCTGTAAAAGATAAAGAAAACATAATTCTAAAAAAGTGAACAAAGCCTCCAAAAAATTTGGGATTATGTTAAATGACCAAAGGTAGGAATAACTGGTGTTGCTGAGGAAGAAGGGAAATCTAAGTTTGAATAACTTATTTGAGGGAATAATTGAAAACTTACCTAGCCTTGCTAGAGATCTAGACATCCAAAAACAAGAAGCTCAAAGAACCCCTGAGAAATTCATCACAAAAGGATTATCACCTAGGTATAGTCATCTGGTTATCTAAAGTCAGGAAGAATGAAAGAATCTTTATGTTGTACTGAACCGAGCATAGAAATTCAACACCAAGACAAAAGTATGCCAAATTGCAGGGTCTTTATTGCTGGCAGCCATGGAAGAATCGCATCTCTCCAACCTGTGGCCCCGAAAGGAGGGAGTCAAGATCTTTTATACCCGTACAACCACCTCGGGAGTGAGGGTGACGAGTGGGGTTGGGGGTGAGGGGATTCAGACATTCCAAGGACTAGTAGATTCTGTAAATCACCTCCTGGGTGGAGATGAAGGTGAGGGGCTCCGGACATTCCAGTGGATTCCTGGGCGAAGATGAGGGTGAGGGGCTCCAGACATTCTGAGGGCCAGGGGACTTCTGACATTCTGATTGTTACTTAAGTGGTTCACAAAAGTCAAGATAAACATTTGTTTACACACTGTCTGGGTAGGGTGGAAGTTTCAAGTTGCAGGGGCCAAGATGGCATGGGTTTGGACTGCTTGCCTGTCACATTTGACTTACAGAGAGCAGTTCCAACAGCAGTTTCAAAGCCGAGGTATGGTTGTGGTATGCAGGTTTATGGGGCTTTTTACCATGTCACATTTAGAGCTGTGAGACAAAAGCATCACATAAACTATAAAGAAAAACCTATCAGATTAACAGCTGATTTCTAGGCAGAAAATTTACAAGCTAGAAGGGATTGGGGTCATATCTTTAACCCCCTTAAACAAAATAATTGTCAGCTAAGAATTTTGTATCCAGCAAAACTAAGCTTCAGAAATGAAGGAGAGATGAAGTGTTTTTTAGACAGACAAATGCTAAGACAATTTGACACTACCAAGCCAGCACTATAAGAAATGCTAAAGCAAATTCTAAATCTTGAAACAAAACCTTGAAATGCACCAAAAAGAACCTTCTTAAAACATAAATCTCACAGGGCCTATAAACAATAACACAATGAAAAAGGGTATTTAGGCAACATCTAACATAATGAATAGAGCAGTACCTCATATCTCAATACTAACGTTGACCGTAAATGGTCTAAATGTTCCACTCAAAGACACAGAATGGCAGAAAGGATAAAGGTCCACTGATCAAATATCTGGTATCTTCAAGGGACTCACATTAACACACAGGGACTCACATAAACTTAAGGTAAAGGAGAGGAAAAAGATATTTCACACAAATGGAAACAAAAACAAGCAGGAGAAGCTATTCTTGTATCAGAGAAAAAAAGACTTGAAAGCAACAACAGTTAAAAAAAAAGACAAAGGGGGATATTATATAAATGATTAAAAAATTAGTCCAATAGGAAACTATCATAATCCTAATTATATATACACCTAACACAGGAGCTCCCAAATTCATTAAACAATCATGACTAGACCTAAGAAATGACATAGCAACACAATAATACTGAGGAATTTCAACAGTCCACTGACAGCACTAGAAAGGTCAACAAGACAGAAAGTCAACAAAGAAAAAATGGACTTAAACTATGCCATTGAACAAATAAACAACAAATATTTACAGAACATTCTACCAAACAGCTACAGAATACGCATTCCTTTCACCAGCACATGTAATATTCTCCAAGACAGACCATATGATAGGGCACAAAACAAGTCTCAATGTGTTTAAGAAAACTGAAATCACATGAAGCATCCTCCAGAACACAGTAGAATAAAAATGGAAATTAGCTCCAAAAGGAACCCCCAAAACTATGCAAATTCTGCTCCTGAATGATCTTTGGATCAACAATAAACTTGAGATGAAAACAATAAATTTTTAAAAATTTAAAACTTATTTGAACTAAATGATAACAGTAACATAACTTATCACAACCTCTGGGATACAGTACAAGGGGTGCTAAGTGGAAAATTCATAGCATCAAATGCCTACATCAAAAAGTCTGATAGAGCACAAACAGGCAATCTAATGTCATACCTCAAGGAACTAGGGAAACAAGAACAAACCAAACCCAAGCATAGTAAAGAAAAGAAATAACAAAGATAAGAGAACTAAGAAAGAAAAGAAAAGAAAAAGCTGGTACTTTGAAAAGATAAACAAAATTGAAAGACTTAGTGAGATTAACCAATAAAAAAAGAGAGAAGACCCAAATAAGCTCAAATAAAAATAAGTGGGAGATATTATAACTAATACCACAGAAATTCAAAAGATCATTCAAGGCTTCTGTGAACACCTTTATGCACACAAACTGGAACATCTAGAGGAGATGGACAGATTCCTGGAAATACACAACCCTCCTAGACTAAATCAGGAAGATATAGAAACTCTGAACAGAACAATAACAAGCAGTGAGATTGAAACAGTAATTTAAAAAATTACTAGCAAATTTAAGTCCAGGACCAGATAAACTGACAGCCAAATTCTATAAGACATTTAAAGAATTTGTACTAATCCTACCAATACTATTCCAAAAGATTAAGAAGAAATCCTCCCTAAATCATTCTATGAAGCCAGTATTACCCTAATACTAAAATCAGGAAAAAACAACAAAAAAGGAACACTACAGATTAATATCCCTAATGAACATAGACACAAAAATCCTCAACAGAATACTAGCTAACAAAATCCAACAGCATATAAAAAAGACAATACGATATGATCAAATGGGTTTCATAACCACGGATGCATGGATGGTTTAACATTCACAAGTCAATAAACCAGACACATCACATAAACAGAATTAAAAACAAAAATTATATGATTATCTCAATAAATGCAGAAAAGCATTTGACAAAATCCAACATCTTTTTATGATAAAAACCCTGAGCAAAACTGTCATAGAAGGGACATAACTCAAAGCAGTAAAAGCCATCTATGACAAACCCATAGCCAATATCATACTGAATGGTGAAAAGTTGAAAGCATTCCTAAAGAAATAGAACAAGACAAGATGCCCACTTTCACCATTTCTATTCAGCATATTATTGGAAGACCTAGACAAAGCATTCAGACAAGAGAAAGAAATAAAGAGCATCCAAATCAGAAAAGAAGAAGTCAAACTGTCACTGTTCACCAATGATATGATCACATACCTAGAAAATGCTGAAGACTCATCCAAAAAGCTTCTAGATCTGATAAATGAATTCAGCAAATTTTCAGGATACAAAATCAATATACACAAATCAGTAGCACTGCTAAACACCAATAACGACCAAGCTGAGATTCAAATCAAGAACTCAACCCCTTTTACAATAGCTGCAAAAAAATCCACAAAATATTTAGGAATATACCTAACAAAGGAGTCAAAACACCTCCACAAAGAACACTAGAAAACTGCTGAAAGACACCACAAATGACACAAACAAATGGAAACACATCCCATGCTCATGGATGGGTAGAATCAATACTGTGAAAATGACCGTATTG